ACACTGGAGATGAAGAACTGAGTATTTCCCTACACAAAGGGAGAAGATGGGTGGTTTTCTAAGCCAGTATGCTTGTGTAACACCACATTCTTTTTCGTGCGTACTACGGAACATGAAATGGGGAAGGAAAGGACAAGGAGAGAAAAAATAAAGAAGACATTTTAATAATTCACCAGTAGGATAGCTAACTTGAAATATCAATCAAAATTTACTCAAAAATTTATCTAGATCTATAAAATTTATGAGAGCCATCCACCCCTCAATAGTTCTGAACCCTGTCCCCCAGAAAAGTTCCTATGGTTTCTATCTAGATTAGATAAACACAAACTGAAGCTTCATGCCCTGTCCACTTTCATTTTTATGTAACTAAAGTCACAAAAATGTGTTCATTAAGCTCAATTTACTTTCCTTCTAATCTTTCTTCCTTGGCTGCCCTAGATACATACTATAATAGAAAATCAATAACCAACAAATTAATAGGAGAAGGAAAGTTGTTTAAATTTTCTTTTAACCACTCAGACTTGAGTGATTTCTTCATACCAAACACGGCTGTTTTCTTTAAGATCTAAGCCTAAGTGCGTTGGATATTTGTTGTTATAAGTTCATTGGATAGTATGTTATTATACATACTATTTTTGTTTTGTTTTTATTTATTTACTTCTCAACTAAATTACCTTAGTTTCTGGGCAACTTTGTTCAACTTGTGTTCCTACTTGGTTTTACTGTAACTATGTGCATAATTAGGCAGCTCTGCTGTAGGGAGCACAGAGTACATTTAATCTACATCTTTGAGGGCCATGTGTTAGAATTTGATTAGACAGAAAGGGTGTGACTTAACACTAGGAAGGGAATATCCTATAGATTATTTGCTACATGTCCAAGATGGGAGGCTAGTTTTTTGTGTGTTTTTTAATGTTTTTATTGATTTTTTTTTTTATTTAGAGAAAGAGGAAGGGAGAGGGAGAGAAAGAGAGAAACATCCATGTGAGAGAGAAACAATGATTGCTTGCCTCCTGTATGCACCCCTACTGGGGATTGAACCAGCAACCTGGGTATATGCCCTGACTGGGAATTGAGCCAGTGACCTTTTGGTGCACTGGGCGACACTCAACCAACTGACCCACACTGGCCATGGCAATGGAAGGCTAGTTTTGATCTAATAGGTAACTGGAAACATTAGTTTTTTGACATAATAATTGCTAACATTTATTGAATGAAAGCACTGTTTTAAGTGCTTTGCATGTATTGATTTCTTTACATTAAAAATTCTATAGAGTAGGTACAATGAATATTTGATTTAGTCATTCCTCAGCCAGGAATATAGAAACCATTGTAGGTATTTCAAACAGGGTATTGAATTCAGGGTATTGATTTGGATATAAAAGTATTGGAAGGACTAGAAGCATAAATGAGGAGAAAATAATATAACTACAAGAGGCTGCTTCCATAAAATTAGAAGGAAAAAGTGAAAAAGGAAGTTACCCAGAATGGGCAAGTGTGTACTTGTCTTTGAGACTGGAGCTCTTGCTTTGCTTAGCAGAAATTTAGGAACTCACAGGCCTGTGGCTGCTGCTGAAACTACTAATCCTGTTAGAGCCCACAGTTGGCAGCACCTGCCACGGCCACACCTGGCATTTCCACTGTAGGAGCCTCCCACAATTTTCTGCCTCCGAATAAACCAAAAACTAAATGATTTCCCTTTTAATATCTCTCTCTCTGTGTTTTATTTTAATAGTTTAAATATTTATTCTGTTTTATAGTTTTTGTTCTTTTACTTTTAAAATAGATTTGTAATCTCTCTGCACAAACTAAGTTCCAGAATCAAATGCAATGATTCTCTTTTCACTTTCCAACACATGACTATGCCCCTCTGGCAGAGCTTTTCAAAATCTCACTAGAGAGAAGGTCTAGGAAATGTAGCACCCAGGCTTCCAATACAGAGACAGTATGGAAAGATGGGAATGGGCTTGAGTATCAATAAATTTTATATATATAAAATTTATATATTTTATTTTATAAATTTTATATATATAAAATTTATATATTTTATTGTTTTATATCAACAAATTATATATATATATAATTTATATATATATTTATATATTTTTTTATATATATTTTTTACATAGCCAGGTACTGCATGTTTTATTTTTATTTTTTTATTTTTTATTTTTTATTTTTAATATATCTTTATTGATTTCAGAGAGAAGAAAGGAGAGGGAGAGAGAGAGAAACATCAATGATGAGAGAGTCATTGATCGGCTGTCTCCTAAACAGCCCCGACTGGGGATTGACCAGGCATGTGCCCTGACTGGGAATCTAACCGAGATCTCCTGGACCGCAAGTCAATGCTCAACTCCTGAGCCACGCTGGCCGGGCAAGACTGTTCAAATACATTTGACCAAATAAACTTTATTTTATATGCATATATATAAAAGAATAATGTGGGTGAGAATTCCTTACAATGTATACTTTAAGAAGGAATCATTGCTCAAGGTCCTGCTTCAATCTTCTGCGCTCTCCTGATGAAACACAATCAAATTCCCCAGACTCCTGTCTGTTCCCCAATGCCTAAAGCACTCTCCCACCCACCTGCTTCTGACTAGGCTCCACTTAAACACTAAATACTTGTCATCCTTTTCTGCCTATAGAAGTCCTATAGTTTTTTAAAACCTTATTTCTACTTTATCTTATTTCTACCTTAAGACTTTCCTAGATTGCCCCAGGCTAAATGTACCGTTGCCTATTATACTCTATTTTACTTCTATGTTTATACTATTATAGTCTGAGTTGTATTACAGTTTTTTGTGTATGGGTACATAGTTCTACTAGATTGAGAACTTCAAGAAATAAGAACAGATGAGTGGATAAAAAAGCTGTGGGACATTTACACCATGGAATACTACACAGCTGTAAAGAAGAAGAATCTCATACCCTTTGGGACAGTATGGATGGACTTGGAGAATATTATGCTAAGTGAAATAAGCCAGGCAGCAAAAGACAAATATCACATGATCTCGCTTATACGTGGAATCTAATGAACTTAATAAACTGATGAACAGAATAGATTCAATGATATGGAAGCATAGATGAGACTGACAAATGTCAGAGGGATGGAGGAGGGCAAATGGGTGGAGGGGGAGAGAGTAACCAAAGAATTTATATGCATATATGCACAACCCAAGGACACGGACAATGGTGGGGAGAGGGACTTGGGAGGGGGAAGGGATGGGGTGGAATCGGTCATTGGGGAGAAAAAGGGACATCTGTAATATTTTAAACAAAAATAAAAATAAAATAAAATAAAAACTGCAAAAAAAAAAAGAAAGAAATAAGAACAGTCCAGCTGGGCGTGGCTCAATGGTTGAGCATCGACCTAGGATCAAGGAGATCACGGTTTGACTCCCGGTCAGGGCACATGCCTGGGCTGTGGGCTTGATCCCCAGTTGGGGCATGGAGGAGGCAGCCAGTCAATGACAACTCTTTCTTTTTTTTTCTTTTTTCTTTTAATGTTTCATTGATTTTTAGAGAGAGAGGAATGGAGAAGGATAGAGAGAGAAAAACATCGATGAGAGAGAAGCATCATCGACCGGCTGCCTCCTGCACACCCTCTACTGGAGGTCAAGTCTGCAACCCAAGCATTTGCCTTGACCGGGAATTGAACCATGACCTCCTGGTTCCTGGGTGGATGCTCAGCCACTGAGCCACATCTGCTGGGTAATGACGACTCTTTCATCATTGATGTTTCTCTCTCTCTCTCCCTCTCCCTTCCTCTCTCTGAAATCAATAAAGGTATACTAAAAAAAAAGGAATAAGAACACAGTTTTTTTTTTTTTAATTTATCTTTATTGTTGAAAGTATTACATATACCCCCTTTTTCCCCCATTGATCCCTTCTACCAAGCTCCTCAACCTCTGCCCC